GCGCTTATCTGTGTCGGACTACAGAGGCAAACCTAAGTGCCAAGGACAAGATAATAAACATCAATAGACTCTTTGAAACAGAAAACATCGAATTCAAGGTTACCTCAGGTTGTGAAGTGTTGATTTCATGAATGATGCCTCTCTGAACTTCCATGTTTTCCTTCACGATAGGAAGTTGTTTTTTAGCAAAACTAATGTCCTCCTGTAATCGCTGGTTCAATACCTCAGTGTAAGACAGTTTCTCCTGGGCTTGAAAAAGTTTCTCTCGTTCCATTTTCAGCTGCCACTTAAGTTCAGTGATGTCTCTTATGCAAGCTTCATGCTCTAGAAAAACATTCAAGAAAGATTTAATTAATAAAAAAAGGTATTTTAGAACTTCAAGAGCCTTACAAAACTTCTGAAGATTCAAATACGTCTTTGAGGAGAAGATGACTCTCCTTTTGAGCACTGACCTTTTTGGACTACAAAAGAGTGCTCTTTTTGCTTCCACAGTGAGATGCTGTCCACCTTGTTCTCCAAAAAGCGTTTTCTCCTCTTCTCTTTGCGAAGAGCTTCCTCTGCATACTGCCTATCAGCTTCCAGTCGCTCAATCAGATACACAACCTCTCTGAGGACATCATTTATTTTCTTCAATTGAGGCGATAATGGACAACTTTCTGGAAAATGAAAAACTTCACAGGATTGGTTCATTGTAATTTACTGTATCATCGCTTTTACTTACATAAACAATCAAAGAAATGTTTTTGCAAAGCTATTTTGGCACAATTAAAATGCAAATACATTTTAACATGGTCTATGGTTCACTACTAGTGGAAGATAGGATGTAAACATCATCTATGGAAAGTGAAACATGGGACTCAATTATTGTCCCACTAACTAGCCTCTTCTGTGCACACTAGACACTTATATGTTGATCTTTCATCAGCATGTGTAGAAGGGATTTGTTTGCTTTGCAACTGCATGAAACAAGTTGAGCAAAAATATTTAAAAAATGAATATATGTGATTTTTTAACAAAAGGTGTTCACCTCTTGCACTGATTGCGAAGCCTTCAACAAACAACTCTGTAGACATTGCTGATTCGGTATCTGGATCTCTGGATTGAAATTTATCAAGAAAAAAGGAAAACAAATTCCAGATGTTTTACTGCAATTACATTTTGTTGAACATTGTGAAAAGAAAAAAAATCACCTTAAAGTTTTTTTGTATTGGTGCTTGCCCTGGTGGACCTGTGGTTGATCTTTTCCAGACTAACATAGGGCAAACATAATTCAAAATAAATGTTTCATATTTGAGATCTGTGATACATTTATGTCAAAAGTCGTATCCCTTGACTTTACCTGCTGACACCAATTTTCCACTGTCATCTTCAGCTCCTGGATATGGTAAATGACACTGTTGACATACGGTGAGGGACTGTTGAGCAAAGCACAAGTGCGATGTCTGCCAGAGCACACGGCTTGAAGATCTGCTTGGTCTTGGGAAACACACAATATTGAGAACTATGTAATGAATCTTTCAGAGGACCAATGAAAGCCAATTCCTTCCTCAATTTCCTTTGCATAATGGCACTAAATCCTGAAATGTTTAAGAAATTACACACTGATGAATTTACCCTCATTGGAAAAACTCAGCAAACAACAGACTTTAGTTTGAACACCATAGTTTGAAAGATTGTGACAAAAAAAACAGTTTGTCTGCAAAAGATGCTTTTGTGATTCTTCACTTTTTGTTAGATTCTGCCTGTAGATTCTGAAATATACTGAAACCATCAGTGAAAGAGCAAGGCAAGTCGCTTGAACATCCCCACCAAAAGAAACATCAAGGGCGTAATTCTTAGTGGTGAAAGGATGCCATCTGGCTGACAAAAGGTAAAAAAACAGCAGTGGTGCAGATCACAATCTTTCATATGAACATTGCTTAAATATATTATATATTGCAGACTATGCTATTGCACAAAGTCATTTTTAATCACAAGTAAAACTAACCTGGGTGAATTTATAATGTTAATATAATAAAGTCTAATTAATCAAATTAATCTTGGTAGCAAAACCTTGTCTGTCTAATATCTATCATCCATACACAGTATGTGACTACTACTTTCAATTCAGTGCCTACCTGACTAAAAAGCTTAATTTAATTATTGTTTTAGAAAAAAGTAGACAGAGTCTTTAAAACTTTAAATCAAAATAAGTTGAACTGAAACTCTAGACCTTGTGCCCTATTTTATGATTGGTGTACGATTTGTAAGAACTGGTATCATATGTTCATTCATGCCTGTGGTCAGCCACCTGTCCTCCGACTGTGTTGACATTAGTTGTACCCTCTTTCATCTTTTTAAAAAGACAGCGTCATATATTCGGGGTAATTGATGGACCCCGGTGGAGAAAGGGGCACTCAAATCAGTAAGAAAAAGCTAGGTTGCAATCTGCCTCACACTAGGAAACCTTTACCACCTGTGATAACAGTTATTCTACTGTGATGTCAGATAAATCAGTAGAATGGCTTAATACTGAGCTGACTCAGACCAAAAGAACCATCCAAGAAAAAACTGCAGGCAGACCCGAAATATAAGCCATCTGTTGCTGAGCAGTTTAGATGAATAATACACTGTGAAAAAACCAAGTGGGGTAGGAAGGTGGTAAGGTAATATGTCATCAGTGGGCTGAATAAGCTCTAAATCATAAAGGCTGGGTGTATTATTGTCACAGAGCCTGGCCATATGAAACTGAGAGCCAGTCATCTTCACTTGATATTATTTTACTGTTATTAAATAGTTAATGTATCAAACTGTTTTTACAAGTATTTCCTGCTTTATTGCAATTTCTGGTGAGTAGTCCAGCTTAAGTGCTGACTTGACAACAGAAGGTAAGAAATTCCTACTGAACCAGGAAAGAGGTGGAGATTTGTGACATTTTGTCATGATGTTCAGACATAAAGTGGTCAAGATGAACAATGAATGCTGAACCGTCACTCACAATTGTCTGTTCAATATTTTAAAGATAGGTATTGAGTGTTGTGTTTGTTGTGAGTAACTGAGTATAACCATCGGATTTGAACTGAAGCATCAGTGTAGCCTGCCGTACATCAGAGTCCCAGCGGGGACTAAATACATCACAGCGCCAACAGTAAGAGTGGTTCATTTAAATAATTTAATTAAATCTTTATTTGGAAGAAGTAAATCGACTTGAAAACGTCTCACCTTGCTGACTTGGTCTCCCTTCCCTTGATGGGAATCTGAGCGGTTCGACGTCTGGCATCACTGAAACTGGTCTGTGAGGATAAAATAAAATAAACACTTCCTTGATCTCTACCGTCGTTTAAACTTTCAGGTTCCACAATAACTTACAAATACAATCGTAAAAACGATGTTTTGTTAACACATTTTCGATGGATAGCATAATTTTAAAACGTGCATTTAATTTTTCAAACAAGTGAGTCAAAGTTGCGTCTGAAACCTTCACTCACGTCCGGATGTTGTTAATTAACTTAGCTAATAATATATTAATGAGCAGGTGGGGGCCGTTGTCATGGCAGAAAGTGAAAGCCAAAAAAATGGCTTGCAATCAACTTACTTGTATTAACACAACAATGGCTGGCAGCTATCTGTTGGTTATCTTGAAGTTTGTCATTGTTCTTCTGCGCCGCAGTCGGTCTAACCCGCCTTTCATAAAAGTTTTCTACAAATGGGTAAACTCAAGTCGCTGCTGTCAATCTTCTGCGGAGGTTGCTAAGCAACAAGGGGCTGCGCGCGGAGACAGTGAGTTATGTTCAAGAGCGGCAATTACGGTTCGTGTTTTCGTTTAGCAACACCTAAGTGGTGTTTTCCTGACTACTTTTTAGGAAGTTTGAGACATTTGATAGATAAGATAAGAATACAAGTAGAATAGTATAATACAATCAAACATGGCTGTATCTAATGTTTAATATGATTAATTATTTTATGCAATTACAGTAGCCTACGGCCCTCTGTCGGGTGTTTGTAAACAAGTATAACAATAAGCCAATGTTATAATGTAAACATGCTGCATCATCCTATACTCATATACAGCTAGCCTATTTGTTATTGTACAAACAAAATGTAATATAAATATTTATCATTGGCTAAAATGCAAGTTATGCGTTAGGCTACATCATTACAGGTGTTTTAAAAACTCGCATAATCCATAAATCCTTGAAATATATGACCCAATAGTCAACAGGATACCTTTCCCTCTCTTTAGTGGTTTCAAAACTTCAGTTTTTGATGACTGCATTTACAGCTGGGGTAACAGCTAGTCTACATTAAAATGTAGCTTAAAATGGGGATGCTTTCGGTGTTTAGAAGACAGTGGACTACAAGCTATAAGAGTAGTTGTTTGAGGTGGGTTTAGGTATACAGCAAATGCATTCCAATAGGAAATAGCCTAACATTGTATGATTCTATTTTTTTTAATAGAAATAGTGAAAGTGTTCACAACTACATTTTGCAAACCTTTATTGTAAAACGACAAGTAAAAGGAAATTGAGTCCTATGGATTCATTGGATTACAATTAAAGTGCATTTAAAAGTATTTATATGATAACATTGTTTCACATTGTGCAATTCTTAAATAAGGGCACTCACAAATTACTGTAAATCAAAGCTTTTTAACTAGGTTGTTTATTGACAACTAAAGAACCTTGTCAAAGTTGAACCAATCTATCTATTTACATATCTTCTACCCATAAACAACAACGTGTATTGTAGTCTAAACGTAATTATTTTGATGAATATTCTTTTCATTGACAAAGATTTTCTAAAATCTGGATGACGTCATCTTCATAGAGCTACAACAAAAATGAAACCAGTGAATGAGCACATCTTCCCATGATCACCTCGAATAAAATAACTTAGAGAATATTCTTCTTTGGTATTTTTTTGTTTTTTTTCTACTCTTCGAATCAACCTTAACATTTTGCAGCAAGGCACACTGACGCATGTGAAGAGATTCCGCATTACGTCATCGCGAAGGCCACATACAGGAGGCAAGTGCTGCCTTGCGTGCACCTCCGCCAGTACGCTACCCGAAAATTTCCACTACACGAACAAGCGTTTGTGGGAGAGCGGCACCAGAAACGGCCGCTTCATGCAGTGATGCAGCCCCTAACACCAAAGAAATCCTGATCGAACCGCACAGGACACAACCGGCTGTCGGCTTGCCTGGACGGAAAACAATGATGTTGCACGACTTGCCTCGAAATACATTCTGGTAAGTCCTGTGCAAGTGCGCTGCAGCTGCAGCTGCTGGAGGCTGGCAAGCGGTGGAGCAGCGACCTTAACCTACTTTGCTACTCTGGGTGAAATGAGTTTTACGATCTAGTTGCAGTGATAAAAAAAAAAAAAAAAACGGGGTTGTGCCGTGATAAAATAAAAAAATAAAAAACACGAGAAAGGGAGTCGTGTTTTGAATGAGATGTTTCTGTAACAATGACATCTTTGTCTCTCGTAAACACAGGTGTCTCTGACGTGACAGGTGATGCCTGAGCTGAGTATGTAGCTTAAGGTGCCTGTTGCCTTTCTTGCTGCCCTTTTGATTTGCTGTTGAGGAATTGTCATGTGTTTAATGCTGTTCAGAGAGGGTAAAGGGACATTGGCTATTCCCATGAGTATATCTCTATTCAGGCTTGTAATTGAAATGGAAATGCAATTCTGTTTTTGTTATCACAGGCAGCACTGTATTTCTTCCATTATTATTTCCTATGTTTGTATGATGTGTTCAACATTTACCCCTTAAAGTTTGTGCTAAGAACTCATCATGAGTGTTGCAAACAAAAAACCACAGCACCAGCAACGGCACATTTGCAGCCACACTCTCTTAAAGTTTTGGCCTTTTTGCAGCTGAAACCATGGTGATCATCAGCAGGGGACACATAGAGCACAGAGCCTAGCAGACATCCCCAGCTGGTACCAGACAGGAAGAGAAAACTGTCTCACTTATACCTACCCTAAAGCACAGCATCACTGGCTCAGCTGAACTCTATCTGATTAACCTTAAGTCAATGGCACAGCCTTTTTCATTCCTGTCCGGAGATGGGATCGGGATGCCAGTATAGTTAATAGTCTCGTGATGTTAAAAATAACTCCAGCCAATCAGTGCTAACAGCTGCGATGTACTGTATCGAGCCGGCCAAACACATGATTGAGCTGTAACTCGAGTAAGTGTTTGTGTTTGGAAATGTTGCAATCCGTTTACGGAGGAGAATAAACTAACACTACTGTCCACTATGTTCTATTCAGCTGCTACAGAAATAGACTCATAATGTAAACAACTGACTAATATGGCTTTTTTTTATTTTGCTGCTGGGCTAAAATTAAGTTGAATATTCAGCCAACAGAAGTCAGTACAAAATTAAAAATGACAAAATTCTATGAGAACCTTGGTTTGCTTTTGGCATCCCTACAAGTCTCAGCTCGAATGTTAAAGTTTTATGATGACTTGTTCTTTTAAGGGCAGTTATTTTCTAATGCTGCCAGTGTGACAGTGCCCCAGGGAGAGAGTAATGTTTGCTGGGTACATGCCAGAAAGGAGGTTTGGGGTCTGCAACTAGAGAGCCAGTAAAGCTGTTCAAGAATGTGGAGCCTTCTCATTTGTAGTTAAAGATAGAGGCAGCACAGGCTGTGTCCTAGCTGACAGTTTCTAATTTCAGATATCTTCAGGCAGCCTCATGTGTTTGGGATGCTTTTGTTGTAATGCTTCCTTTTTTAGGAGGGAGTTTGTGTAGTGTACCTGTGGCTCTATAGAAGGACAACGTGGTGTGGTTTTAACTTAACTAAGGCACAGAGAAGGAATATGACCATGGTGCTCTATGAGAGGTATGTTGATCAGCTTGTTCCCTTTACCATCGTACATTGTATCGGCTGTGCTGGTTTAATATCTGCTCTTGCAATAGATTGTATCTATCTCAGTCATTTCCGACACTGAAAAACAGAGCGCAGAAGGTCACGTAGCTCAGGATGTTTGCTTGCGATGAGGAAAGGATATCAACGTGAATCTATGAAACAGTGTGTCTTTACTCCTTTATACTCACTCTCTGCTTAAATGATGAATGGGCTTGCATTTCCATTACTTTCAAGATGACATTGGACTTCTTGCTGCCAGTAAGGCACTTCCTGATGTCGGTGTATTCATCATTGCCTTAGACTGAAGCAGCGTGTATTTTTTTTCCAAAGGGAATTCAATTGAAGCTGTAAATGCAGCTAAATGTTATGGTTAAGTGAATCTTGTGTCGTGCTTTATCATGATCATTTAGCGTTTATAATTATTTATTGTTCTTTTTTCTGTAGTAGTGTACTGCTAGTGTCATTGCACTGATTCAGTCATTCCAAGTTGACCTATTAGCCTAATCGTTTCACTCTTTAACTGGATTTGGAAGAGTCCTAAAGCTCCATAATTGACTGGCTTTACTTCCTGGAATCAGAGGAAGGATCACAAAGAGTAAAAAAAGAAAAAAAGGATGCTGTTGTTTGCTTTTTAACACTAGGCAAATTCTCATTTCCACACCATTGGTCTCTGCAGCATAATATTTGGGTCTACCAATTACTGTCAAAGTAATTTGAAATACAGTACCATGCCTGAATGATTGTCTCACAGAAAAAATTGCCAGAATGCTTCATCCTACCAAGCGTTAAAATATAAAAGATATTAATAAGTGAAAAAACTTTTTCTCCAAACTTGTCTGCAGTGGGAGGTGTGGTGTGTGCGTGTGTATGTGTGTGTTTTAGGGGGGGCTAACACTATGTTTTTATGAAAGGAGCGGCTGGGATCTTTGCTGCCATGGCAACAAACCACATGACTAGGTATATTAGATTGCCTTGGACAGAGTGCAGCGAGGCATGGTGTGAGCACTCCCTCTCTTTGCTGCTCTGCCCCTTCCAAAGTCTTCTCCTTGTCTTACTTTAGTTTTTTGCGCCCCCCACCACCCACACACACATTTCTGATAAGCACTGTAGTGTTACACATTCAATTTGCAAATGTACTTAAAAAAAATATGTGTGAGGTCAGAATGTAGCTACCAGGGCTGGATTAACTTCAGGACCCAGGGGTAAAGTCAGCTATGGGACCCTGTTCTACCACCCATTATTATATATGATTGGTGTTGCACCAGATCACATTGATCTCTGATCCGTTCAGATCTATCGATTCTATCAATTTAAAATAAATGCAATGCCGCTAAATCCCTGCACAGAGTTTCAGTGGTTACGAAGTGCATGTAGGTGGACTTTCATACAGAAACGGGTCATAAAGTGTTGATATTTCATTGTGTATTGTTTCTTTGCATCAAATAGTGCTTAGACTTTCCTACTATTCATTTCACACTGTTGACTCCATAATATCAATCAGAAACTTGACATTTGCAGTGTTACAGCCTGTTGTAGTCTGGAGCTGTAAACTTAGACAAACAAACTCTGTTTACAGCACTCTCTTCAACCCAAAAACTGAAAATATAGTCCTTGAACTTGCACCCAGTTTTTGTTGTTTTGTCTTACTCACACACCAAGTCCTGCAGGTGCAGCCTGTGAGCGGATACACACACATTCACTAAATCACTGGTTCCCAAACTCTTTTTTCCTCAGAGACCCCTCCCCCCCCCACACACACACACTTGTATCTCAGAAAAGCTGAACCCCCTCTATTTTATAATCAGTATGCCATTATGCTGTTATTCTGAAGTCTCTTTATGATCAGGTTAACTCTTTGTAGGGGACAAGTTCAAAATGTGATGAGACATCTTTTACAGGGGGTTTTCTCATTTTCAGATGTGCTGGCTGGAACTTTAGCTTTACTTTATAAATGTTTAGTTGCTGTTTGCACCAACCTATGTAGGTAGCATACATTTAGTTATCTAGCTAGCCTCAACTGACAAAATCTCCCAGAGACCCCCGACGTACAGAAAACTGAGACGCTGTTTTTGTCAACTTCATGGCCCTTTTTTACTAAATAAAAAGTATTTCTTATTTTACTTTCTTAACCCTTTATCCCCATAAACTGCATTTGAGCTGAGCGAGAACAAAAAGCTTAACAGGCATAGCAACAGTAACTAAGAGAGGCAGCGCTACGGGGCCACATCACTGCCAGACATTGAACGTGGAGCCTGTTAAAATCTGTGGCTGCAGGAAGCTGCCTGTTTAGCCTGGTTGGTCATCTATGTAGTCGCATCAAAAGCATTATGAAAGGGTCAGTTCTTGATAATCCAGAACTAATGTAAAGTCAAATGATATAGTTATATTGTGAGTAATAAAAATGGATGTCTTATAGTTGTTTGACATTTATTTTACAAATAACTTTAAGACACTCTGCTATGCTTCTAAAGATTAAATTCTGTTATTCATGTTTCATAAGGGTAAAAACAGTTTACTCAGCGATTAAACAATGCTATATTTTGAACCAACTGTCTTTTTTGAAAGCAGGTGTACACAGACTCTGACATGACTTTCTCTCCTCTTCATCAGAATGATTGAAGACTACAGTGGGAGCGGTGACAACATGGCAGATAGACGGCAACTGTTAGTGGAGATGAGTAAGTGCTCAGGGCCACAGCTTTCCAGGACTGTTTTACTCGCTTAACATAAAAATGGCAAAAATTTGACGGCAAACAGATATTATGAGGACCATGTACACCACGTTTCCCGTTATTTCACTTCCTAATACTATGTCTTAAAGTAGGCCTATTCCATACTATACAATTCTTTAAAGCTAGATTAAGTATGCCTTGTTTTCACTTGTCTGCTTGTTGACATACTACCTCTGCATCACATATTAAAATCCTCCTTTACAGACTTTTATTATTTTTATAAGAAATGACAATTTGACTGTTTTATTCAGTTTCTTTATCTATTTATTTCATTACATATTTTAGCTGATATGTATCATTTATTGTTGTCTGTGCATCATTGTTTTTTCATTTCTTTTATGTTCAGGCTGCTCCAAACCATTTGCTCCTAGAGGTATTAATAAAGTTGTTTGAATTGAATTGTATGTGCATCAAAACCCTCTCCCTCCAGAGTAACATTATCCATGAACCAGTCTTGACGTTTTTGATGTTATTAAATAATCAGTAATTCCTCCTCAGGGGCTCAAGATTTGGATTCCATACGATTATCGACGTATAGAACAGCCTGCAAACTTAGATTTGTGCAGAAGAAATGCAATCGTGAGTATGACGTACATTCAACTAAACCACTATCCTTATAATAATTATTATATATATATATATAATTATAATATATAACATATAATAGAACATCAAGATGTTTATATTTTGTTTGCGTTTCAGTGCATTTAGTCGACATCTGGAATGTCATCGAGGCTTTCCGAGAGAACGGCATCAACACCATGGACCTCAACGCCGAGCTCTCTGTGGCTCGTCTAGAAGTGGTACTGTCCACCCTTTTTTACCAGCTGAACAAGCGCATGCCCACCACTCACCAGATTAACTTAGATCACTCAATCAACCTGCTGCTCAACGTCCTGCTGGCATCGTATGACCCGTGAGTTCTCAACACATGACAGTCTGCTGCTGGTTATGTACTTTCACACATGAGGTTGTGACATTACACAAAGTCGTGCAAATTATGACTCTGACTCATCAAAAATAGAGTGAAAATATTAACTATTTACTTTAGAACTGTCACAACATACTGTTTGTATAAGTGTATTTTTAAGAGATGCTAAAAGCTAAGCTAAACACTTATAAGATGATTGGGTGTTTCCTTTTAATGTCGGGCCTTTTAGAAAAAGAGTTCATCGCGTTGACAGCTGCATTTTCATTTATATGACCTTAATGTATTATTTATTGACTCGCTTTAGGGAGAGCCATGGCAAGATATCTGTCTTTGTTGTGAAGATGGCCCTCGCAACCATCTGTGGCGGGAAAATTCTGGATAAATTAAGATGTAAGCAACACAACAAAATCTTTTCATTTCTTTAATTGTGAAAAATGGAATCAAACGTACCCATTTTACCTGTAATAAATCAGCATATTGTCTTTGTAAAGGTCATTCGGTTTGTAGTGTAAGTAATGTAATGCTTTGGAATTTCTTTTTATATAAAATGTATTACTGTTTGTATCATCTGTATCTCTGTCTGCTTAGCTTATTGTTCTAAAAAAAGAAGCAGTGCTGGTCTTGCTCATAATGGCAGGGACAACTCATTATTCATTATGTGAAGTTTATTACATAATGTAAAAAAAAAAAAAAGAATCCGTGGGAGCATTTGAATTGGCTCATGGAGAGAAAAAAAGAGGGGCTGTGCTGCTGGTGTATTATTATAACAATTGATTAGAATAACTGCTTTCCTTTGATTTGTTTTCTCTAATAAGTGGGATAATTGTGTTGTGTAATGCTGTAATTAGCCGACTGTGGTGGCAACTGATAATTACTTTGATTCATTTGCATTGTTCCCAGATATTTTTTCACAGCTCTCAGATTCTGCTGGATTAATGGTGCATTCACAGTTTGACCAGTTTCTGAGGGAGGTTCTGAAATTACCCATGGCGGTTTTCGAGGGACCTTCTTTTGGTTATACCGAACAAGCTGCGAGAGCATGCTTTACCCAGCAGGTGAGTGTGTTATTAGTGGTTCATAGGTTGTTTTGGCAATGACGTTGTTGATGACTCTTTCCTGTTAAATCTACCTCTCCTCTGCACTGAACGTCAACAGAAAAAGGTCTCCCTCAATACATTCCTCGATACGTTGATGTCAGACCCGCCCCCTCAGTGTCTGGTGTGGTTGCCGCTCATGCATCGACTCGCCAACGTAGAGAATGGTAAGACACCACGCAGAATATTTATAATCTGCTGAAAAGCTAGCAGGGCTGGGAGGATGTAAAGTTCAGCTTTGCATCATAATCTTGAATCACCACACACACAATCAGTCGAGCAGAGAGAGACAAGGAAACACACCTCCACTGAAACGATGACCCATAGGCACCTCACGCCCTTATGTATGAGGAAGTGTGTTTGTGATGCAGTTATCACTTACATGTCATATGCTTACACATAGTCAGCATGCTGATGTCGCACTGCCCTGTGCGTATGTCGTCAAAAATGTGAAATTACACATCTGTCGCTGAACTAATGGAAATTAATTCTCCACTCTATGCAATGTGCTCAATATCTGGGTTTTACAATAACAGCTGTTTGTGTGCATGTGTTTGTCCATCTGTGTGTGTGTGTGTGTCTGACCCCTCCTCTCCTCCCGCAGTCTTTCACCCGGTCGAGTGCTCCTACTGCCATACTGAGAGTATGATGGGCTTCCGCTACCGCTGCCAGCAATGTCATAATTACCAGCTCTGTCAGGACTGCTTCTGGAGGGGGCATGCCAGTGGTCCCCATAGCAACCAGCACCAAATGAAGGAGTATACGTCATGGGTAAGGAGAGGAGAAGAGAGAGGGAGAGGGAGGAGGGGGGTAGGCTAAGGGAGGTGTGTCTCCTGTGGACCACTCGTTGTGGCTATTTTTGCTCTGATGCAAATCAGTGTACAGAATGATGCAGCCTGTTTAATGCAGGTGAGAGTATTGATGTGATGTTGTCATGCGTTTCAAAAATAAATTAGTGTCATTATGTACGCAGAATTGGCTCCTCATTGTTGTGTTTGTTTCCCAGAAATCCCCTGCTAAGAAGTTATCCCATGCCCTCAGTAAGTCACTGAGCTGTGCTTCCAGCAGAGAGCCTCTTCACCCCATGTTTCCTGAAATCCCAGAGAAACCTCTCAATCTAGCTCACATTGTGTAAGTTAGCTTTATTATCTTTTGCAATAATATAACAGAGCAATCCAATAATGCATTCCTCCTTTGACTCCTTCAAATGTTTGATTATGTCCCTCAGCTGATAATTATCTTGTTGCTGCCTCTGTGTCTGAAGTGATTCTAGTCAATCTCATAGGTCAACTGATCAATGAGGCTTAATTGTAGCCTTGGGAATGACTGTATCCTGCAACACAGCTGCTACCTTTTCCCAGACCTGACTGATGTCATTATTTCATAAATAATAAAACAAAAGCCTACACGAGCATTCACTCTGTGGGACTCTGGTGTGGTTCATTCAAAATGTATAGAAATAGTATTTAAATCAAGTATAGGTACTAAAACCTACTTATGGTACAAAAAAACGCCCTCATATTGACAAACAAATTCTCTTATAAAATATATCTTCTTTAATAACCTTCATAAGCCGAGGAAGTCAATTTATTGCAGACAGTTTTGTAGAGCTGAATGTGGACTGACCAATCATGGAGTTTTGAATGTTGACCACACTTACGTCTATGTTAGGGTAATTTAATTTGTGGGATGTAATTAATACAGATCTGAATGTATTTGATCAAAGTTGATAGCATATTTATTTTCCTTCTTTTGTTACTTTAAATCTTTTGATTTTTTAAAAATATATTTAGTGTAGTTGTTGCAATGTCGGATAAATTATAATACATTTTCATTCCCTTTCTTGTTCTGTACTTTCCTCAGAGATACGTGGTGAGTTTGTTTGATTTTTTAACACATGATAAAATGTGTCCTTGTGCATTTCTGTTAATGTAGATTTAAAAAGTTTATAATCTACTAATTGTTTACAGTGTAGTCAAGTCCCACCCTACCTAGTGTACTGACATATATTATGATTATATTATATATTTTTTTACAGCTTGTGTAAATACTGCAAAACTCTACCTCATGTAAATGAATCATGTTACACAATTACATATTTATTATCATGTTCATCTCAGCATTTTTTGCAGTACTCACCACTGCACTATTATCTTATTTAGTCTTGTATATATTAGTCTTTTTGCTTATATTATATTTATATTTAATGTTATACTTGTTGTACATTGAGAGCACAGTACTGAAGACACATTCCTTGTGTGTAAGCATACATGGCCAATAATCTACTAATCATTTACAGTGTCGTCAAGTCCCGTCCTCCTTAGTGTAATGACAGTCATTCTTTTTTATTTTACAATCTCACTGTTTTGTGTCAGTTCATGGATTCATCCCTGTTCATATTGCATGTTCTCATTGTTTACCCCACCCTGCATACTGTAACTAAATCTGACTTTTTTTTTCCCCACGTCCTGATAAATGCAGAAAAATCAGTGAAAATAATGTTGCAGTAAATCCATAACATTAAAGGAATAATTGACAAAAGGAGAAGGCAGGGCCATTTTCTGTCTCGTTAACATAATAAATAATTGTAAGTTCTTCGTTTTTTATCTGAGAAAGAAAACGTTTGTTTCCTCTCCAGGCCACCAAGACCAATGAATTTCACCAATGACTACGCACTCTCCCACTCCATGCCAACATCAGGGAACCCTTACTCCACCAAAAAGTGAGTGAACATCCGTAACAATGGATGCCCTGGATTTTAAAGCAGATCCTTTCAATTTGCCAAACTCCCGCAAGGACTTATGTCCCGCAGGGTCTGTGACCCACACTGTCTTTGAACTTCCTTGCCTTTTACTTTCAAGAGTGTGTGCCGACTGTGTGTGTGAACGTGTATGTGTGTGTAAACATTTATGCATCGCTGTGCTGTTTGTCTTTTCTCTCTGTTTTTTTTCTTCTTGTGCTGAATGTAAAAAAGTTTGCCTTGCAGCAGGAATAATGATGTTGAAATAAGAAAGCCCCTGACTGGGGCAGCTCCTCATCTGTTGAAAGGTAAAGGGTAAGTGCCATAGGTGTGCACATGATTATGCCTCTGTAGTTGAAATGCATGTGTGAACTAATATGGATAATAATCATAGGGCATTGACTAGAAATGCTAATCATCCTCTGGAAACTATTAGAAAACCACATTTCTTCTGGAGGGTTTACACTGTTGTGCTCAAGGGGCCATTATAAAGACACTAAATTAGTAAGAGCCAAAATGATCATTTGCAAATATGCTTCAGCGTCTATAACAACCTCCTCGTGTAGGTGTGATGAGACTCTTTGGCCCTCAATCCCTTCAAGGCTGTAGCAGTTAAACACTTAAGTTTTCACAGATCTTTGTTTATTATGTCAATACATTTTCTTTGCGGTGATTAGTGTTAAAGAAAAACAAGTTGCTCGTTATGTTGAAGATAGCAGTCATTTTTATCTTGACCTCTCTATAAAGGGCCCCTTTGGTCCTAAAGAAAGTGTTTCTTTAGGGAACACTAGTCGCTTTCATAACTCTACCTTATAGGACAACATACGAGTGTGATGACTGAGTGATGTTCTTTACAGTATTATCTAGGTGCACTGATACTGTTTGTAGAGGCTGAGATCATATCAAGTAACACATGGGGCATTCAGGTGGTGTGTGTTTTCTGAGTGAACCTGACTACATTTCTAAACGTATGAGTTGTTATAATAGGATTGTTCATTTCGGCTAGGGCAGTTGCAGTCAATATAGACACACTTGAAAACAGCTATCCAATGCAACGGTTTATGGTGGCTGCAAAGTTACAACAACACTTATCCAGTAAGGCTTTTCCTTAAGTCAGACAATTCAAAAAAGTCGAGAGCATTTTGGTTATTTCTTATGGCAGCTCAGACAAATTTTGGCTTGAGAGTGTTAAGTACTACTAATACTACAGAAATATCCTTATCTTTAGTCTCTTACTCCTGATGAAATTCAAATAACCTTTCATTTGTCATAATGCAAACAAAATCCCTCAAGTAAATGTCTGTGTCATAAGCGTAAGCGTTTCTGCTAATGCTTCACCAGTGATTTTTAGCTTGACAGTGGGCGTAATGATTAAGTTGGGAAAGAGTTAGTCATACACTGGTCGCAAACCCACAGATTATTTTTGGCTCAGCATAAGAAAAGGATTTGAACATCTTTATGCTAACAGATTTGTTTATTCTATATTGTTATTTATTTATTAGTCACTCTTTCATTTTAGGATTTTTTTTCAGGCTTTTCTTTAGGCCTTTATTGGAGAGTGGCCACAGGTTGGATTTGAGCCCGAGCTACAACCTCTGTACATGGGGTGTGCAAGCTTACCACTTGGCCCTTTTATTTACTTTTGCCAGGGGAGTATCTGTCTGGCACCAAATACATGTAGCTAATAGACAAAATAAAGGACTAGCTAGCTGGTGAACATCGCAGATAATTTAGCAAAAGCCAAATTAAATCCCTAGAGTTGGTCGAGGATGCAAAACCAAGCCAAAAAAAAATAAAAAGCAGTGGTCATTCCAGATGGACAGAAATACAAAGATGGGTCAGCTAATGTTGCTCTGTATCTCTGCTGGATGTGTTATGAGCCACAGTTGGACTAACATCAAAAAAAGATTGGTGTGCTTCTGTAGACTTGTCGAGGGCTGGATTGTTTGAATAGTAAAATGACTTTCTATTATTTTTGACTTTTTATTACTTTCATTATTTTTAATAACAGAGAACAGAGTGCTTGATGCGTGTAGAGTGTAAACAGTGCATGAAGCTAGCAGACTTTCTTTCCGGGCATGTCCTTAATCGTGCTCTTAGCCTTCATCTGCAGTGTCTCTCCCTAACATAATAAGGCCTTGTTTCTCTCTAGTCAGCCATGAATGGCAGCTTTTCAGGCACTCTCCTCCTCCTCTCTTTTGTTGCCCTCTCTCCTTTTGTCTCTCTCTTTGTCCCTCTATTGTCACCTGTGTAATGTCATGTTTTATGTCTTGTGAAACCCTGCACTGTTCCAGGTTGAACTACAACCTCGATGTTGCTGATAGACTTTCTGATGAACATGCTCTGATTGGCTTCTATGTGAATCTACTCCAAAACAACCCCAACACATGGTTAGTTGGTGTGGTGCTGTGTTTGCCAAACACCAGTGGAAACTATGTGCTCTGCTGAACTGCCACTTTAAAATCCTTCCTCCTAACCCAACTTTATTCTGAGCCCCAACACTTCATGCTCTGTTTTATTGGGAAAAAAGGCTAAAATAGATTTCCCCCCCCCCCCAAAAAAAAAAGTAAGCTTGTTTCTTTTTTAGCCATTAAAACAGCTTTTAAGTACCTGTATATGAAATGCACAGATTCAGTTCAAGGAAATGTTTCCAGTGTGACATGTACTGTACTTGTGGTATTATTCATAAAATATATATAAAAGAAGAAAAGCAAGTAGATTGCTATTTGTCACATTAAACTTATATATATAAAAATGCTTTGGGTAATTAATTTGTTTATTTAGCGTTTTGATGGAGACCGTATTTTGAAGACAGGATGGAACAGCTTTAAAGTGAGGGATGGTCCCCAATACTCAGGTATCAGCTAACAGTAGTGTAGCTTGGTGAGCAAGGCGCTGTGTCATAGAAACATCAATATTAACGTGATACTTATTAAAGTTAAGAAAAAGGCTTAAATCAATATTTACTGACTGAAAAAATTTCACATTCTAAAGTTGAATCTGCTGTATCGTTCATTTCATGTTTTGTGTTGTTGTTTGTTTTACTATAAACCAGACAATAATTTATAAAATGAACATCATGATTTAGTGAAAAAGGCTAGTAAACAGCGAATGATAAGACATTTATGAACAATATATATTATGACAATCATAGGAGTCTCCCTGCTGGCCATTAGGAAAAAAAAGTCAGTTTTGAGGCATTTCCACATAAACTACACTTTCCACACCACGGAGGCACTTTCCAGTCTTTTATACAATATATGAACAATACTGATATGTATTCTGGAATATTTATCACTAGATTTGTCAGCATATTTTCTCCTCTTTCTAAACATTGTTGCTTATTACCTCACCTTAAAGCATCAGAAAAATGATGATGCCTGCTTTTTTGTGTGTTTGCTCTAATATGCTTGAGTGTGTGGTATAATGTGTGTTTAATTTTTATATATCCGATTGTCATCCTCGAGTCTATAAGAGACCCTGTGGAACCTGACCATGTCTGTCTACGTTTGAGTGCTTTATGATATGTGTTTTTGCAAAAATGAAACCATATTTTTTGGTGATCAAAGTGTACAGGCCATTGGTTCCCAACCTGAGGGGGGCCGAAAATCATGATAATAAACCTACTGGACAAGTTGAACAAATATATTTTGGTAAGAAAAACAGTGTGCGTAGGCCTATTCTGTTGGGATCCATGAAAACAATTAAAATGTAGCTTAATTTTAAACTATATATTAATGTATCATCATTTTTTCATGTGTGTCCTGGGGTGGGGTGGGGGGGGCTCAGCTTTTCATTTATACAAGGGGCTCCATGGGAAAAAAAAGGTTGGGAAACAGTGGTGTAGGCTTCCCTCCTGGCTGTTAAATACAAAGCAAATGAAATGAACTTCACCTCCCCTTTACATAATAACTAATCTGCATTCTTGCTTTTGAGGTTTTTCCACAAGTAGCTTACCATAATTAGTCGGCCTCAAGTGTAAAACTTTCAAAGCTTTTCTGGCAAAGAACTAATTTGACTTTTGAACACACTAAACTTTGATGGAATTTTTACTGCATTCTTTCCTTTATCTGCGTTGCTGTATAGCTACTGTTTCATGTTCTGATTCCCATCTTTGTTTTCCTCCTCATCAGTTTGCTGGAGAGCAGTAACCATCAGGATGAAGAGCACAGTCTCATCGCCCGCTATGCCGCTAGACTGGCTGCTGATGCTGCGGTGAGATTTACTGTAAATAAAGAATGTATTGCACATGATAAAAATGATAAAGTGGCACTTTTCGCTGCAAAAAAACTGTCATTGATGAGAAGGTTTGAAATATGTGACTTGTCTTGCTTTGGGGGATTCAGTCCTTTCTATATCAAAGATGATGGATATATGTACAGGTAGAGATCATTTCTAAAACAACTAACACATAAGCTCATATTTGGATCAGGTCTTGATGGATGGCTGGTTACTTGTCTGTTATTTCCCCCAAGTGAGATCTGAGATAAAGTAGTGGATGACATCATCCTGAGGTTCATCCGAGTCACGTGATGTCTCTTGCTTGGTTTCACCGGCAGGCTCAGCAGCAGAGGATCCCCACAGACCTCCCATTCTCTCTTGATGCCAACAAACAGCAGAGGCAGCTCATCGCTGAGCTCGAGAGCAAAAACAGGTTAGGGACCACTGATTTGATGATATTCTTTAGTTGTTGTTTTTTGTCGGTCTCTACTTTTCTTGTCAAACTCCACAAGAAGAAATTCAGCTTGACAGAAAACAGAGTCCTGGGGGCTCATTTATCAACAGTGCGTAAGCACGGTTCTGTGCGTAATATGTGCGTAAGAACATTCCCAGGCAAAGAGTGGGATTTATCAACTTGTACTTTTACTTATAAATGTGTGTAAATATAAGCACAGCTCTGAGCATGCTTACGCACAGAATCTAACGGTAGAACATTGAAAGAACTACGAGTGTCACAGCACGCCAGAATCAATCTCAACGTAGATGCATGTTCCGAGTTTTCTTTAATTAAAAACCCCAAATAAGTGATTTTATCTTGTTTGAAACAGACGTGTTGCCTTAATTTGTTCCAAAACCTCAAAAAGACCGATGTGACGGACGTTTGAAATGTTACATTATGGCTCGTTTTGCCTTCAGATGATTTGGCGAACCGTGCGCTCCGCAGTAAGGGTTTTTCAAAAGAGCGCACTGATCTGTTTGGTCCAGCCTGTCCTCTTGTGAGAGCGTCACTGAGCGTCAATGATTTTTTTTCCCAGAGAGAGCTTTTCCTATGACGCTGTAAATGCACCATTCTTGTGTGAAATTTTGGAGTATTCTATTATCTTTCAGCTGCAAGTGCTTCTCGCTTTTGTGCCGCAATGCGTTTTATTTTTTGCACTGAGCTTAATCTGAAACTTTATCTTCATGTTTTCTGCTCTGACCTGTCACCTTCTCTCATGCAGCATCATGCTCTCATACTAAGTGAAAACACTAATAGGCTAATTTAATTGGGTCACTTAGCGCAAGAGTTACTAACCTTACTTTATTTATTTATTACCATTTTTCATTCAACCTCATCCACTTCCATTTCTGTTATGAAGCTCCCTTTCTTTGCTCTCGTATTATTCCGCCGAGGAAAATATGTTCACGTTTGCAGAAATGAATATTTAAAAGTAGGTTTTCAATGATGTTAAGTATTTGTTAGCTTTGAATGAGCTCTACATATCTACAGAATGCGTGGGTCTTGTCACTGAGATGGAAATATTTCTTATATAAAGTAGCCCAGAATGGTTAACACACCCATATCTTCCATTCACCCTGGGCCATGTGGACAAACTATATCTATAATATAGCCTGGTATTGTAGTTATGTATATTTGTCTCTGTTCCAGAGAAATCTTGCAGGAAATCCAGCGGTTGCGCCTTCAGCATGAAGAGGCTTCCCAGCCACCTCCTGACAAGGGCCAACATAACCCCACCCTGCTGGCTGAGCTACGACTTCTCAGGTAGCTCTGCCTACTCTAACCCCCCTGTGTGTTTATAATGGACAATTTTGCTTACGCTGCATTAAAACGTAGTATAATCGCCCACCTTTTTTTTGGGTCAGATGTACAACTTGTGTTAGAGTCTAAAGACGCCTATCCACTTTTCTTGTGGCACTATAGACCGGACCTGATGGTTTCATCACACTTGTTTCCTTTGTTAGGCAACGCAAAGATGAGCTTGAACAAAGAATGTCTACTCTGCAGGAGAGTCGCAGGGAACTCATGGTGCAGCTGGAGCAGCTAATGATGCTTCTCAAGGTACTGCAGGCATGCCTTTTATCTCTTTGACTTCACAGTGCTCAAAGACAGTACGCCTTCTATAATTACAAAAGAAACGCACTGTTTGTTTCCTGTTGGTAACAGTGAGGTTCAGGATCATTTTGTGTACGCTACATTACAGTTTTTACTTCTTTACTCTAAACAGGTGGTAAACAAAACAGATGAAGGATTTACGTCACCTTTTTTCCTACAATGTTTGTACCAGGATTTTTTTTTTTCTAGTAGTAGGTGATAACTCAGCTATGATTAAGAAAAAGCTACACTTTACAGATCAGGAAACATGTTAGAAATTACACAACATGTCCATTAGAGGGCACACAGCTGTTCAAGTAATGCCTGTTGAGGCTTATATGTCGTACTTTTTGAGGGGTCAAACCAATATAATTGATCATTTTGACCTTCGGATAAAATATCTGATTATGTGTGTTTCGTCAACTGATTAAAAACAAAATACATTATCCTGTTTAACTCCAGCATTTAAAAATATAATAATGTATACAAACCTTACACAGCTTTTGGGAAAATCTCATTATTAAGTTGGTGACGAGTGTAAGTCCTGTTTAAAGATGTAACTGTTTCAGTTTTTTGTGACATGTTTTTTTTGCATAATTTAAATTAAGAATAGTCCCCTCTAATATTTTTGCAAATGATATTATATATACTCCAAATTAGATGTGTTATGCCAAGGTTTCTCCCCCTGCCATACAGTCGATTATGCTCCATTGTACCTTGTAAAACAACATGTCTATTCTACTGTGAGAAGGATAACCTTTGGTGCGAGAATATCTTCTGCATTGAACAAGACAGGAGTTTCTTAAAGCCTACATAAACTGATTACCATACTGGCTTAAGTGTAGAGGATATCAATCTAATTAGACTGAAAGGATCAATGTTAATCCATTAAACTTGCATGAGGAGGCCACATGCTTGTCACGTCCTGAAGGAAACACTGATTGGATTCTTCCTAGAAATGCTTAAAAGCCATGAAAATATTGCTTTTTTTTCAGCTGGAGGAAGAACGGAGAGAAGCTGTAAGTGTGAAACTGTGGAGAACAAAGACACTAACACTTGAATTGCACGTTTGAAGACAGCTAGACAGCTATTTCTTCAGTTTTGGTTTGTGATGGTAATAGGAACAGTTTTTTGGGTGAAATCTCTGCATGTTAGGTACTGAAAAAGTTCTAACAAGACTGTAATCGCATCTTAATGACTCCATATGCCATACATTTCTAGCATGTTTCCAGTGTTTGTTACACACAAGGCTATTATGGCGTCCTTTTGGGACAAATTAGTTTCTCTGTTGAGGAAGAAAAATATTGAACTGGATTGTTTGTGGCTGTTTTTTGGGGTTTGAGTTCTCTGCTGTGATTTAAGCTTAAAATGAAAAGACATACTTGTTGCTCTGCTCTTGGAAGGTTTTGATGGGAAACCCTTTTATCCAGAATATATTTTATGCTTCAGCTTTCTCTGTTAACAATGCCAGCACAGTGGCACTTGTTAACACTAAAACTGTCTGTATGTGTTGCAGACTCAGGGTCCAGGCTCTCCACGCTCTTCCCCTAGCCACACCATCAGCCGACCGATCCCCACACCAATTCAATCCAACTCTACTGTCACAACCCCAACGCACACACCTCAGGATTCACTGATGGGCGTGGGAGGGGATGTTCAGGAGGCCTTCGCTCAGGGTAACGCAGTCACATTCAGAAGCATGCAATGGCTTATGTATATGGCGTCCAAAATATAATTGGAAGTTGTTTTTAATTCACATTTTAAAACTAGCTTCTTTTTTTTTTTTTTTTGCATTTTTCCAAAGGTCCAAGGAGAAATTTGAGAAACGACTTACTCATTGCAGCTGACTCCATCACCAACACAATGTCATCACTGGTCAAAGAACTCAACTCAGGTAAAAAATAAAAAATAAACTTTTACTTTAATATCTTTATATTTACAAAAGAGCTGTTTTAAATTGTGTTTTGTTTTACAGAAGGTGGAAGTGAGACTGACAGCAATGTGGATTCAGACTATGGACGCGGCGACCTTTTGGCCACTAACTTCTCAGATCCTCTATTCACATTTAAACCAAGGTACTTATCACAATCATTGTAGAAGTGAACTAGAACAGCAGCCCGGGTTCAAATTGGACCTGTGGCTACTTTCCTGCATGTCATTCCCCGCTCTGTCTCTCTCTCCGGTTTTTAACTCTATCAACTGTCCTATCTCTAAATATAGGCATTAAAAGCCCAAAAATAAACCTTAAAAAAAGAAGTGAACTAAAACAGTTTCAAATGACTGTCACCCTTTAACATTAAAAACACTTTTACACTTTAAAGGCTCCTTCATTCTTACCACTTATTCTAATATATTTATGGTACATTTGTTTGATACGTTAAAAAAAATTTAAGTGGAGAAAGAGAAAATATTTTTTGTTATCTATCTTGTATCTTGTGATAAATTCCTCTACCTTTAGGGCACAAGTATTTTTGTGTTTTCTTATTTATTCTCTTTTTTTATTCATGCAGTCTGGGGATTTAAATGAATAAATGCTGACATGAAACTATTTCTTTTATAAGCGCAGATATATGTGGCAAAGATACTCATATCAGTTATTTTCCTACATTTCCGTGAACTCCTTATTTAAAAACATGTGTAAGATGTGGTTGCAAGAGGTTAAATGTCACTGTTGGTTACAGTAGCTCTACTTTGCAGTAACACCTCAGATCCTGTGTCTTGATTTACACTGCCATCTGTCTGTCATAGGAGTCACAGTGTTACACAGGAGAGCTTTGAGAACGACCTGGAGCAGCAGCTGGAGGACGAGCTCACGCTGGAGGAGATGATGGAGCACAGGCAGGAACTGGACAAAACTTGCATGGTGAGTTCAAGCTTTCCAAGACTTTAATGCAGGAAGAAGGAGACATATTGTGTATTTCAATAAGTACAACTTCTGCTTATTCTAACATGTTGTCTGCATGTGTGTTTGTTTGTTGTATTCCAACTGTGATACAGGTGACTCTGCAGCAGTAACCGTGTGAGTCCATGTCACTGGTAAGTGTCTGAGACTTGGATAGACTCTTTATGATCCACACTCACAGTGGATTTATAAATGTAAACAAAATAACTGAGTGCTAAACCTAGCTTCAAAATAAAATATCAGTTGACTATGCACAATCCATTGGTTTCCAGCATGCATGCAACCAGAAAACAGTGAATAATAAGCCTTTTCCTCCTTGACAGTAAAATGTAAATGTAGTCATGGAGAACAAACCAGAGTCATAAGGAAAATGTTTACGGAAGTGACAAATCAAATGATCTCATCTGCCTTCCTTCAACATGATTTTTTGAGTCAACAGTGGAGCCTTGAGGTCCATCAGAAACGATACAGGTTTCAATCACGACCACACAAGTTTAATTTTTACACACCATGTCCCCTTATTACGCAGTCTATGGTCAGTACAGAGTCATACTTTTAATTAATTAATTATACACAGTGAAGCTAAACCATGACCTGTAGGCTGTAGCTTCCTTACACAAACTACCAGAACTACTTCGAGCTGTCATATCATATCCTACACCACTGTATGTGTTAGCCACTGCCCGGTACATGCTCACAAACAACATACAAAAATTTGCACTACGTTTACCATTTTATTACATCTATTCTTGTGCACGGAAGACTCCTCACCTGGGGCTGGCAGGTCAGATGTAAGACCATGGGTCAGATCCATACATCGTAATTATAGGCTATGGTCAGACCCCAGACCTTTTGGCTAACTCCCCAGTTGCCCCCCAACTTTTCCAGCAAAGCTAGCAGTGTTCATGCGCACTGACGCGAGTAGCAGTGGTGGGCGGGGCCAAGGCCTGATGGTGAGAAATTGGATGTGCTTTTATATAGTAAAACAGTGTTAAGCTATTTTTACATGTTGCAAAAACGTGCCTGGAGGAGAGCTTTCATCATGTCAGCAAAACTTTTAACAGGATCAAGCTACTGCACATATAAATAAATAATTACTTTCATTGCACAAAAAACACATTTGGGTTTCTGGCTAATGAGGCTCATCTAAGTGTTCAACATAAAAATATGATGTCTACATGTATAAGCGTGATTGTTGGAATATGCTTTGGCTATTTGAACTCAATGATGAAAGCAGATTACTGTCCTAACCTAATTTTAAGTGTTGACTTTTTTTTTTACACTAAGATGTTAGTAATATGTTCTGTATTATCAACAGGTGAGCAATATAAAAAGCAACAATAGTAGGAAGACACTGGAAGAGACAACACTGGGCCTACAGTACAGAGCACTGACGATATGAAGAGTTTAATAAATGGCTGAATCCAACCATAGAATACATTTATGTAAAGATATATTTTTTAACCAACCACATATTGAAGGTAATACTGTGAGCTGATGTAAAGAGATTCATTAGTGAGCTGTCTATTATACCACTGGTGCCATAAAAACCACATGACTTTGGGGAATTACTTCTTGATCATTAGCCTTTTTATATGAGTTGTCAAGCAAATGTTAGTACTTCAGTGTAAGTACAGGGTGGCAAACATGATTCAAATCACATTTTAAAATTATTTTGTTTTATGACAGCGAAACAATGCAGGTTTAAATATTAATTTTGGTCATCTGATACAAGTTGGGATTGAAGAGTTAGATTATAAAACTGCAATATTTTGTAAATGTCTAACTCAGACTGATTTTACCACTGTTCCATATAGATTTCTTACTGTTGCTGTTGTGTGGCTTTTGTATTGTTTTTGACTTGTTTTTTTGGAGCAGGCCATCAGACATATTTGTTTTAGGCCATTTGATACACTAATATTAAAAATGCACACTGCCTTATAGCTGTCTGAATGACCTCTTAAGAGAGCTCATTCAAGCTGCAATGCAGCATGTAGCTCAACAAAACAACTGTTCAGAAGCATCGCTCATTGAATTCATTGGAAAAGTGAGGTTTAACTCATTAAATCTGATGCTATGAAGTTATCATGTCTGAGAGGGATTTCATTAACATACATGTACACTGTCTATGTATAACATGAATTCAATACCAATTACAGATGGATTTGTTCTATATGTTACACAGAATTCCAAATGTATCAAATTCAAGAGTTTACAATGGTAAGAGCATTGTGTTTTACCATGGGTTGTTGATCAATTAAGGTTTGACCACAGGTTATCGGCTATTTTTCATTTGTTAGCACCAATGCTCTCACACAGAAACTCCTGTGTGTATTGCACACCATCACACACTCTTGATGTACTTTCTGAGTGTGCGTGAACCTTAACTCAGTCACTTTGAGAAAAGTGGCAAGCCAATCTAAAAAGTATAAATGTGTGAAATATATCTAGTTTGATTTTTGAGCAAGTTCATAGCAGTGATTTTGCATGGTGGTGATGCATAATAAAGTGGTGACACAATATTACAATTTTGCCTATGAACTCCTTTTCTTTTTTTATCCCATTCCAGAACGGCACACTTCAATTGGCTGGGTTTAGAAGAGCACATTTATTACCTGTCATAAATGCACTGTTGGCTGCCCTCAACCTATTGTCTATAATTCATCACATACACTCAACATCTGAGGTAACATAAAAACAGCCTCAGGCATTATTATCAGCATATATCTAACTGAATAAAAAAATGTTTTTAACATTGTAATTACAAGGATACTGCATTTTAACAGATACAAGCCTTTAAAAACTTGACCTACAGCATCCATCACCACATTCAAAAGTTATTATTTCCACAACATCTATTTTTATCTGTTCTATTTTTGGTCTGCTCTATCAACAGAGTGAAAAGAGCAGCTATAATACTGATGATTTTTTTCACAAATCTTCACTGCACCCTAGTGTCGAAATATAAGTGGTGCAGTTGTGTCAGCTGCTGAACAACGACGTTTTCAATGTAAAATTCAAACGTTTTCCCCCTCAGTACTGAAATAATTTGCTCTTTATGTTGAGTTAAAATCTATTGAATTCGAAAAGTATTTATTCAAATGAATCTTGCTGTCTTGGCAAGACCCATTGTCATTCTAAGAGGCATGTTTAGGCTATTTCATCTGATCTCAATTACACCGCTGTTTAATGGGGTACAATCGTAATATTTACAGTCTATGGGTACAATTGAAGAAATTAACATTTTCCAGCAGTCAATGGTTGTCAATGTATGTAGCCTACTTGATTAACTATTTAGTCTATATGTAATGTCAATTATAAGTCAGTGCTGATAAAATAAATCATTAACAGCCTTAAAAAAAAAAAAGGGGCAACTCAAATAATGTTTTTGCAACAACAACAAAAATGTTAAATTTGTCATTTTTCAATGAGGCCATAAAATTAGAAAGCAGGAAATGTCCACTTGATATTCATGTACGAGTTCCTCTAATTTAATATAGCCTACAAATAAATCCATTCTTAAAAAAAAAAAAAATTGGAAATAGGCGGAAGGTGTGTTTTCGCACTTGAACGAAGTGTATTTCGCTTTTTTTTAAAATAAAATACATGTTTTAAAGATCGACAAAGGGGATCGCTGTCAGATGTTCGGAATGATCAACGCATCAACACCTAATTGGACAAAATAGCGACAGATGTCAAAACCGACCAATCAGCTTCAACACCGATGAAGCATTGTCCAATGAGCTGCGGGCTGTCTTCTCATCGTCTTGTGAGAATGGGCGTTTGAGGGTGGGGTGACTCAGCCGGAAAACAGCAAAAAATTTTAACACCTTGTAACCCTGCGGATCGAAGTTCACTGGTGAGTCCCATTTTTTCTTCGCTGAACTATTACAGCGTGTCATTTGAATTGAACTGCACAATGTGGTATTTAGCTGCGAAAAAAGCGGCGCGTAATGAACGTACGTGTTGGTGGCTCGTACGGTGATGATGGTGAACCCAGGGTCAGAGCATATGTCGGCTGCCACTATTCTGACAATGTCGACGGGAGCGAAATTAGCTAACTGGAAACTTGGCGGTCAGCTGAACAACGTGTACCACCGGTACTTGTAAGTAGCCTCAATTTTGGTAAAAACAGTCTTTTCATTTGGTTCTGGGACTGTTTCCCTGTGTATTAGCTTGCACTCACTCACGTGTATTGTTCTCCATTGAAACTGTCAATCCTTAGAGACGAAGCGGAATTAGCTGTATTTACTTGCAGCTGACTGCCCCGTTAGTGAGTGAAATCTCAGAAACTAGGCTGAGACTCTTGTACGAGCTGATTGTGAACAGTGGCGTGGACCAGGCACCAGGGGACAGAAGAGGAGGTGACCGGGGGGAACTCCTCGCTCTTTTTGTAGTGGATGCAAAATTGCCCTCTTTTAAAACAGGAAACTTCACTTGCGACTGTTATTATATGGAACCTATAAGGAATTGCATTAAGGATGCCATTTAAAGTTATATATCCACTTTTGAGTTCTGCATGATCTCCCTTCCCTAATTGGTTTCAGATTTTAGGTTCCCTCTTCTTACCCTGACTCCTTCTGGACACTTTTCTCTGCAAGTAAATGGCAAAAGTGTTATCCCGTCCAACTTGGACCTGGGCAAAGGGTGTCCTCCTTTTGGTTTTTGTTATTCTGTGTTTTTTTTTTTGGGTGGATCTGTTGGGTTGAGCTGCCACAGCCAACCCCCACCCAATCACCAACCCTTTGATTACCCAGACTAAAAGGAAAGCTGCATTTCCTGTCATGTAGTTTTATGTGCAGCAGCCCAGTAATTTGTAATAGCCTATGCCTAAAAGCATTATGTAAAGACTAAACTATCGTCATCATCCAGCTGTGCATTGCCAACATGGCACCCACCACCTTCACACAGCTAAAAAAGCAAGCTTATTAACAGTTAAGCTAGTCTGAGCATCTGTTTAAGCTAATCTTGCTTGCACGCTTCATTTCTAGAGTGATGCAGGCAAGATATTCACATGAACCCAACTTGAACACAACAAATTGCATAATTTAAAAATATACAAAAAACAAATCATCTGTCCCTGAAAGAAGCCTAACCTGGATCTTTTCTAAATCTCAACAGTCAGACCTTGTTCAAGCAGAAAGCCCTTAAATCATTCCAGACAGTCCAGTAAAACTAAATTCCTTTGACTTAATTACTGCTGAACCTCAGGGCAGCTTTATCCTGCAATGTACTGTATGTTCAAAATGTCTACGCACACGGGCCTCACTTTTCATAGTTGTACAATTCTGCGTCATTGTATAATGTGTTTTGTTCATTTTTTCTGAAACAACACTGCTGTGCTCAGCTCAAATATATGTTTAAAAAAATATTCTGAAGGAGATGTTTAAAGCTCTCATGCCTTTGAAATAACTTAAGATATGTTGGCCTATTTTGTTTTGTATCATTGCACATAAATGCTGCCTGTCTTTTTTGTTAAGAATGCAAAGACGGACCACCCCTCTACGGGTTTCTTTGTCTCTCTAGTTTTGGCATCATTTCTACCTATTTCATTCATATGCTTCTCTTAGTCTCATTTCTTTTCTTTTTTTTAAAGATCTATTTTTGGGCATTTTGTGTCTTTATTGGAGAGATAGGACAGTGGACAGAGTCAGAGAGCAGGGAACGACAGGCAGTAAAGGAGTCACAGGTCGGACCACAGCCTCCATACATGGGGCGCGCACTCTAACCACTGCACCACAAGCACCCCCTTAGTCTCATTTTTAATGTTGGCAGGACATGCATGCCTCACCTCTGTGATGAAACTTTGCAGCCTGTCAGACTGGAAAATGACATCTCTTTGGTACCCAGTCTAGCAGCAGCATAGAATGAGGAATGCAGCTGCTGCCCATATCTCTGGGTTTGTACAAAGTGTTAAAACTCTGCATGATACCTCGTTTAATTATCTTGTTTTAAGGTCTGGCTGAATTCAAGTTTCCTCCTTGAAAAAATGCTTGATTCTCAACATCATTTGTAGTAGGGTCTGGAAAACCCCACATGTAAACCACAAATCTTTAAGTATTTGAATGAAAAGATTCGGTTCACACTTGTGTTCACTCCTGGTTTCGACTCACGATACCAAGAGGCGCTAAATATACCGTACGGACATGGGTGAAAGGGGAATGATTTTGTGTTCTGCATCGCGTCTGAAGTAAATCCATCTTCATGTAGGACACATTTTTTGTAACATAAAATGTTTTCGTGATTGCATTTATAGCTAGAATCAAGATGTGACTAAGTGTTTGAGGGTCTGAAATTTCTGATTTGTACCTTTTAACTTTGAGCTTCACTCAGCCAACCCCCATGATTGTGTGAACAAGCACAGAGTTTCTCAAATTCCTACTGCCTCTGAAGTTTGACCATGATATACTTTGCCTGGAGATACAAAACAGTCCTCAGTGCTTGCAGTTGTTCGTGAGGAAACCAAAATGATGCAGTTGTCACTTTCCAGTCTGAAACTTCCTTTAGCATTGCTATTGTATAAATGTGGTGTTGCATGCATTTTATTCTAGGCAGAGACATGTGTGTGTCCACACTTTGGTCATTTAATAAGATTAGTGCTTGGTTATGCCTTGTGCTTGGGCTTTGCAGGATTTGTGTGAAGAAAACTTTTGACCCTGTTTAGAAGGGCATTCCTGATTATCTTTCCCTCCAGAGAAAAACACACGAAAGATTGATTTTTATACCACTGCCTTGGTTTATTTCTGGTATTATATTAAAACACCTAAAACATGAGCTTGATTAGCATGATTTTAGTCTGTCAGTGAATTATTGGGATCAAGTTTCAATCTGTGGCACATATATCCGCTTTACTCACATGTGAGTATGATAAGCTCCTGTGTGGTTGGTTTAAGGATAATAATTAAGATAATATTTTTCCAACACTTTAAAGTGAAAAACTGTTGGAATTTGAAACATGTTTGGCAGTTTCTCCAAAGCAAAAGCGTTCCAAGAAAGCCTACATTATTAAGTCAAAGAAAGCAACTTCATCTTTTGTTTTATGGAGAACCAGGTCCTGTTGATGAACCATGATGCTGCTGTCGTGGATAAAGTATTGACTGAAAATGGAGGAAATACTACTTTTCTTCCTTCACTTATACTCAAGTCCTCAAGTTGTTTGCAATAAAAAGCTTTGGCCTGATGGTGGCACCAGAGGAACAATTTTAAGTAGTGAAGTTGTGTGAGTATTTTATATCCTACTATATGCCCATTTTTCTTTAAAGCATTAATGGCATTTGCCCTCTTGACAGCAATAGTTGCTGATGATGCAGCTGGAAGTGGAGGTGTAATAGGCTCTGTGACGGTTTTCTACAAGATGGCACAACGGTAGGGCTTTGATGAAACGGAAAAAGTTGTGTTGCAAAACATTTGCCAAGTGACAAAACCAACAGGATGACTCTTTAGACCCATCTGTTAATTAATTTGTTGTTTTGTCCATAAAATAAAAGATGTCCTCAAATGTCTTGTACTTGACCCCAACAAGATGACTGACTGTCAGTAATAACCGATTATCAATATAGCTTGAAACTGATTTATTAATTAACAGCTGACCAGTCTATCAACTTATCGTTGCAGCACTAGTCTCATTATGACCAGGAAAAAATGTTTTCACACAAAATAAGTTAAGGCATCTCGAGCCGCATGTGATTTGACCTTTAACTGAAAGTGAATAGATGCATTGCTGTGAAGACTTCAAAACCTGTCCATTCTTTGAGTGTCAACAAAACAATATAACTCCTAGGTATGTCAATGTGGTACTGTCAAAAAAAAGAAAAAAACGTTTTTAAATAATGCAACACAATGATTAATAAAACAGTGTTGGGGGCGGGGGGGTAAACCAAGGCAGTAAAATAATAGTACAGTGTCATGGTAAATGCGGTATTATTGGCCTTAGACCTTTGCTGATAGGCCCTTTACATGACTTTGCATATTTTTGCATGAGACATCACAGCTATGGTGTATTTTCCTTGTGGTGTGATCCAGTGCTGTTTTAAAGCTGTGTCAGTTTTACTCATGCAGATTAGATACTGTACAGTAGCTTCTTCTTATTGATTACTAACCATGTCACTAAGGGATAGATTTGATATTAGGTGTGTGGTAAGTCATGGGACTTTCAGATACATTGTCATGTCACAATTTAACATGATTGCATTTGCACACATTTTCATTTTAATTAGGGATGCACTAATCTCACTTCATCAGAACCAACTAGAATTTTTGGTTGAACGTGTTCCATTTATTAGCATGTTGCTTCAGGATGTGGTCTTTCATTGGCAGTGTTGCCACAGCGTCACCCATGGAAACACTAACTTTGAAACGATTGCAAGCAGCACTAGAACTTGTTGGTGTTGTAGGCATGGTGAAAACACCTTAGCTCCCTAAATGTTGCCAGTATAGCTTCCTCCATCTTCCCTCATCAGTGTTTCTCCTACCATTATATTAGGGGGGGCGGCCCAATTATCCCCAGTTCAGCTATTTCAGTACGTATTGGACCAATATCTGATATCAGTGTCAGATTGAAGCATCCCTTCCAGTACAGCTAAATTAAGTTTTGGTTGAAAAATGTGTCAACAAGCTTCAAATGAGCCATTTTAGTCAGGACTGACACATTGAGAACAGTTCCACAGTGCAACACAAAGCAAAGCTGTGGTTTATAGTCTAAAAACATCAGATGTGAATACGCATACAGAAGATTCCAAGAAACCACAGGACTGTATTGTTCATATTTCAAACACCAATGTGTATTGAATTAGGTCTTTGAATGAACAGATGATGTACAGACAACACCCAGACAGGATGTATAAGTAAAAAATAATAATAATAAAAAAAAGGAAAATAAAGATTAGTTCATCACTTGATTTGTTGGTGCACATAAACAAACCAGCAACCTATTTGATCATTTATAAATTATTTACAAAAAACTACATGGTCTAGATTCTCAGGTACAAGTGTGCTGGTTATAGTTATATATATATATATATATATATTACTTGTAATATATCTGAGTTTTCTACTGTTGCTCTGACAAAACAAAACATTTGAAGACTTTACCCTGGGCTTTGGAGAATGCTTATTGGCAATTTCCAAATCTTCATTACTGTTTTTTTAATCCAGCACAATAGTGAGAAGATGGATTAATAATAATAATTATTGTTAGTATGGTTATTAATTATTTATGATGATTATTGTATTATTATTTATTAATTACTATACTCTATCTTCTTGATTGACAGATTCATTTTTGTTCTCAGCAAATAGTGAAACAATGCCCATCACAAATTCCTATAACCAGTTAATAAACTTCTTTTGTCTCACAAACATGCATACCCAAAGACATTGAGTCATTGACCATATAAACTATTTACATTTTCAGTTTTTGCACCACAAATTGTGTTTAAAATTAAACACTCATTTAATACATAAACTACCTATAACTAATACATAGATCAATTAATTGACAAATGATTGCAGCCCTGAAACATTTTAAATGAGCATACAGCTGGAGCAGTCGACGAGATGTGTTTTTGTTGGGAAATTTAAATTGATAGTTAGTAAGCAAAATCATTTTTACGACACCATATTACCCAAACACATCCATCCATTAGGATCTGCCTGCTTCTTCTGTTTTTACCCACACCTGTTGTTGGGTGATGTAGTGCCTATAAACGATCTAATAATCATTGAAACATTTGAAGGTGAAACTGGGTGGTTGCTGCATTTTCCTTTTTTTTTTTTTTTGATAAATGCCACACCGTCTACAAATACTTCTGTATTATCAGCGAGTATTGATAGATCTGGCCGGTGATGATAATGATGATTCCTTTTTAGCAAACAAGTGATCAATGTATTTTGTTGTACTGAAATAGCCCACCTTAAGGAACAGGCAGCCAGTCCCATCAGTCACGTGGTACAGGGTGCAGCGACGTCATTAGGGCAGAGATTTGTGAAGAATAAGCAGACAGAAGCAAAGAGCCCCGGAGGTGCGGCACTTTCTTACCACTTGCATCGTTCCTGTTGTTATTTTTTCTGCTGTTTTCCCGGCCAGACAGAGAACAGAGTATCTGTTCCACATTTTTAGAGACCCAAATGCCCGGTCCCACCCAAGCCCTTTCCCCAAATGGAGAGAATAACAACGACATCGTCCCGGACAACGGATCCAACATCATTCCTTACAGGAAAAATACAGTGCGGGGAGAGCGCGCATACAGGTAAAATCAGTGAAACGTCCTATTTGACTTTTATGATGTGAAATCATTTTTTAAAAAAAGGACAAGACACTCCTGCAACAACTCCGCATTCTGGCCTGGTCCTCCTCCACGTCGTGTGTTGGTTTTGCTTTGCACCCATCTGCTATTTTTTTCTCCCCCCCCCCCCCTGTTGTCTCTCCTGTCATCTTAGCTCTCTCTGAATGGCGTAAATCGCTCTCAAGATAGCATAAAACCCTTCTTCATCTTAATCTGGTTTATAAGCCTCGTCTTCGTAAAGGTTATTGCAGGCAGAAGTTGAATGTGAAATGGTTTCTGCGCAGTGGCTCAGGCAGATTTTTTTTTTTTTTCTTTTGGAGGACTGGTTTGTTCAAATGACAGGAATACACCGACAGACGCCCCTGCGTGTTGGGGCTAAATCACTCCCAATCCTGACACCGAAAATCAAACTTTATGTGTATTTATACGACAGTATTACAGCTTGGAAAACCTTCACGAGTTGCTACATAAAACTGATCCCTCCTCCTCTCTTTGAATTGAGGCATCAGCCCAGCCCTGGTGTCGGCTGTGCTATCACTGCCCGGCTAACAAAGCATGCTAGCAGCAGCAACATTACATCCGCTTTGTTGACATGGGGATCGGCTGGCCCACTTTTCTTCCTCCCTGTCCTTCCCGGAGAATCAGTGAACCGAGGCTCTGCTCGTACAGTGCAGTGCTGTGATAGCCCAACTTTACTGCTGAAGGGTTATTACCCTGCGTAGACTGGTGTTAGCTAGACATGATGATGACGATTTGAAGCATGGTTTAAATGGCATATCAGGCGCTGCCACAAGCTACAAAAGAAGAAGGGTGTTTTAATAGAGCCTGTCAGTGAAGGAGGCAGACGTGGTTGTGCTACAGCCTTTATTTCTGTACAGGAACATTTCTGCATGTGAAATAAAGCAGAAGGCTTACTTTTGATGGTCATTTGATTATAACTTAGTAATACTATGTTGTTTTGTTCAGTGTCTTGCACATGTTTTGTAAAGTCTGACATCCAAACTGCACAATCTTCCATCCCAAAAAAATCTGATCGGAAGAGGGAAACTGCATACTTTATGATGTTATATGAGTAACTGGTTAGGTTTCAAATCTTGAACATACCCTTTTACTTGCATTGCAGTTGAACATTGCAAACTTATGCTGTGTTAGTAAGACTTAACAGTCCACATTTCTGAGCATGATCAATGACATTGATGTTTTTGTGTTTGGTTGGAGTAGGTACAAGAAATGAGACACATTTCTGTTTACTATGGTTGAGACAATTGAGTAAGCTGTTACTCACATTGTTGTGGCCTAGCTGTGTGACTTCTTAATCCGTGGTTTAGGTATCAAAGTTTGAGTTCCCTGATTTAATTTTTGGTACATGGAAATTCTCACACCTAAGTAGGGCAAATTGGAGAGAACCCTGGGTGATGCAGGTGGAAATTGCAACATCCTTGCTCCATCCATCTTGACGTAAAAGTAAAATCTAATTATTGCATCCAAGGTACAAATTCAAAGAGGGCCTACGTGGTCGGCTGCAACCAATATATGAAAATGTTACCTTCTGTTTTTCCATAAGCAAAGGAGATGTGTGGTCTGATGTGTGACTCCGCTTCCGTTAGATTAAAAACGCGAGCAACACAACACGATTATCGACAAATCTTTTTTCATTCATGCACTTTTCGTCTAGTGCAGTGGTTCTCAACTCGTCTAGCCTCAGGTCCCACCAGCAACACCCCCATGAGAAAACCGACCTAAATTTCTGACATTTTTAAACCGATCAGATTTTTTTGGGATGGAAAATTGTGCAGATTGGATCTCAGACTGTACAAAACATGTGCAAGACACTGAACGAAACAAACACGTTTATAGAGCGCTTCAAAGACTTCTTGACACTTTCGTGACCCACTGAAAACAGCTCCCCGACCCACTTTTGGGTGCCAACCCACTAGTTGAGTACCACAGGTCTAGTGTATTATTGTAGCATTAACATGTTTTTAAACTGTGTCACTGTGTACATATCTTTTGAAATACAAGAATTGGCTGATTCACCATGCTGCATGAACACAACATTAAAACCATTTTATTATTTTAATGCAAAAAAGACAAAAAGGACATTCTCTGGTTCCATAGAAAGTTCCATTTTAAATGTTTATTATTTAAAATAAATGTACTTAGATCCACACTTTCAAGTATAAATGCAGGACTTAATCTTGGAACATTTATGATTGTAAAGTGAATATATTTGGTTATTGGACTCTTGGTCATTAGACAGATGTCATATTGGGAACTAAGAAATCATGATGGCTGTTTTTAACCGTTTTCTGACATCACCTAATCCTTTATGACAGCGTCTGCATTGTACTCAGTGGGCACCTTAGATAACTGTCAATAGATGTTAGTACTGGCGACCTGCTTAGGTGGGAGTTGTTGTGTCATTAAGAGGCTTAGTTGACATTCATCTGTGTTCCTCTATTTGTGTCGGTCTGGCCACCTGAATAAATGTTAAAGATCATATCTTGATGTAAATCTTAATTCTGTGTTGCTGTTGGGCTTTCAGTGAAATCTGATGCATGATAACTGAATGTAGTATGAGCCGATTGGTTTGTTTTGAATAAAGATAAGTATATTGCAGTTAGTCCTGTTGTATTGTGTTTATCTTTACTGGTCAGTCTTAGAATGGATACAGAAACTCATCACTGTCTTCTATTGTGGTTAATGTCGTAGGTTGAAGGTACCAGGAAATGTTAGCCATATTTAAAAAAAATTTTTTTTACATAATTAAATAAAACAATTTAAAGACCTGAAGGTTTCTTTGTGAAGGAGGAGCAAACCTGAGGATGAGCTTCAACAACGTCCTTCCAAATGCATTGCCCTTGTTATGATGTGTTGTCTTTCTTCTGTTGCAGTTGGGGGATGGCGGTCAACGTATATTCTACCTCAATAACCCAGGAGACTATGAGCAGGCATGACATCACTGCCTGGGTTAACGATATTCTCTGCCTAAACTACACGAAAGTGGAGCAGCTCTCCTCAGGTGAGAACAGAGTGAAAGAAATATGGCTCTTTATCACGTCCTCTTCCCTTCCCTTCCCTTAGCTTGCACTTCATGGGGCAAAGAATGCTTGCTTCATAGATTACATCTTCACCAGTAGAGGATTCCAATACAATTTAATGTAAGCTGGCAGTTATAACAACCTGTGGCAACAAGCTCACCTCTCCCTGGCAGAGAGTTGTCTATAAATAAACTTGTAGCCTGCCATGTACTTCTGCTGTGACCAAGTAATCCAATTTCAGTCACTACAGAAACACACACAGCCCCCCTGCTTGTCTTAAGGTGTAATCTACTTCTTTGATTACTTCTTGTGTGCCCTCTATTTGTTGGTGACCGCTATCAGATACAAGTCACATAAACCCAAGTTGAGGCCCTGTCCTCTTTTTCAATTGGATTAAGGTCTAACAAGGCTTCAGTTAACGTTGGTAATGTTACTGAGAATGTGTTTAAAAGTTTCCTTCTTCAAGAAACAAGGTCAATAATGTGGATTTAAAAAAAACACATTTTTCTCTTGTTTGTGTTGGGCCTTGGTGGGTGTGATATATCCTTGACTGTATCTTGACAAAGTCTTCCATATTTTTTTGTATCATTTTAGAGCAAAGTCTTATGTACTAAATTAACATTTTGCCACATCTTTAGGCGCTGCGTATTGCCAGTTCATGGATCTGCTCTTCCCTGGTTGCATCAGTCTTAAGAAGGTCAAATTTCAAGCTAAGCTGGAGCATGAGTACATTCATAATTTCAAACTGTTGCAGGCATCCTTCAAAAGGATGAATGTGGACAAGGTGAGTGTCTTAACCTTACATTAATCTTGATCAGCATATTAAGTTTTGTTATTTTGGTTCCACACTGTATGAGCTCTGCATGAACTGCTTGCATTTATGGGTTTTTTTTGTTCTCTTTTGTTCTCCTCTATTCAGATTATTCCTGTAGAGAAACTGGTTAAAGGCAGATTTCAGGACAATCTCGATTTCATCCAATGGTTTAAGAAGTTCTTTGATGCTAATTACGATGGTAAAGATTATGACCCAGTTGCAGCCAGACAGGGTCAGGATGCCATCCCCCCACCTGACCCTGGTGAGCAGATCTTCAACCTGCCAAAGAAGTCCCAGCATGCAGCTAGCTCCCCGACCGCAGGTAATCTTCTTCTGCCACAGTGATGTTGCTAGGTACGCGTCCTAGCAACATGATGAAAAAAGGAAGCAGTTTTTCTGCTATCAAAGTATATGAGAAATGTTTGCAGACATTTTTATCATGCCATCATTCATCCAACACATTTTTGTCTGCTGTAGGAGCATCAAGGTCGAGCTCAACAACTCCTAAGTCCTCAACACCAACATCCAGACCCTCGTCAGCCAAAAAGATCCCTGCAATAGCAACTCCTGCCAAAGGAGAGAAAGAACTGGACGCACAGGTCACACATCTAACAGAAGAGGTGGGTTTATGAACAGCTAAATTATTTTGGTTGTACGTCAGAAAAGCTAAGTTCCGACTTCATTTCGCTCACATTCTGCGGCCAGTTTTTTGCATCTCTCATTCTCATAATACCAAAGATTTGGTCTGCTTTTTTACACAACTCTTAACAATAGCGAAGTCCAAGTACAACAGTATTCAGTAAACAAATGTGCTACAAATTTGCTTTGTTGAGGGGGTCAGTAATATGTAGTTTGGTCTTAAACTGATATGGTATGGTGCCCACATTAAAAGTATCTATAAGTCTATTATCCTGTCCTTTTCGTGTATGTGCTGCAGTTTTTTGTCTTTAAAGCACTCCACCAGACAATCAGCAGAACATCTGGTGCAAAGCTGGACAACAAGTTACATTTATTAACTAATTATTTCACTGTTTTGTGTTTTCTGTGGCTACTGTTCTTCCAAATGTGGAATTTAAACAATGAAATAAATGGAATGAAAATTAGAAGACCGCTTATTTTTGCCTATTTAGCTATTTAATCTACTGAATTAAGAATTTGTAGCAAGACTAGAAACTGAGTTCAATACTTATTGAACTAAGTATGTGCAACGTGCAGCTCAGAAAAACCTTGGGCCATTGTATACATAATAAGTATTGACTTTAAACATGTGAGAGAGCGAGGCTGTAACTGGCAGATGTATTGACAAATGATTAATAGATCAATAGATTATATAAACAACGATAAGAAAAACTGAGTTACAATCCATAGACAAAACCAATAAAGCAGCTTACTCTGGACCCTTGTCACACGGGATTGGTGCAATTTATTCAACATGTTTAGTATTAAAGTTGCTGTAATTTTAACTTTATGTAAATGATATCGCAGATGACGTGACTGTTTGTGATGTGACCTACAGAAAATGATCAGCCTAATCTGAAGTACTATCTGTACTTTGTTTGGTTCTTAGTTTTCCAGCCTTTAACCTCACTTTTTTTTCAACTCTCATTGTTCTCATGGTGTTGATTTTTGGGGTGTTGAAACTCTTACCAGCTTCACAATATTTGCACAGCAGCAAAAGCCTAACAGTGTTGTAAACATAATACTTCTTCTCCACTGAATCTACAGCATCAATTCACTTGGTTTTCTTGAAATTGTTGCCTTCGGCCATTAGTTATGGATTGCACCTGTTGTTTATTGCTAGCTTAGCTAAGGTTCTAAACAGCTGAGCAGAAGAGGGGGAAAATAAAACATTAGGGACCACTGATTAGCTGAGTAAAGATCACTTGCTTGGACGTACATTCTCCAGGTGAACACAAACAAAATGATGTTTCATCTTAAGTGCTGTATGTGTAGGTACGCAACTGTTGGTTGGCAAGGTCACTCTATCATCCTAAAATTGATGTGTTAGCAACTTGTTTCTCCAGACAACAGCTGAAGGAAAACAGTCAGTTAATGCAGTAAACATTGAATGAGCTTTATTTCTGCTTAAAATTGATTTATCTAAGTCTTCAACAGTTTCTGATAATGAAGCTCACATCTGTTTAATATGAAGCAGTGTGTGCGTGACTCATTTGGTTGTTGATCTTGTGACTGCATATCCGTTGCTTTTTTGTCTGTTACCAAAGTCCACATTGTTATATCTGTTTCATATCTATCAGGGATGTGATTTATTTGGATTTATACAGATTTCCGTATTTCTGAATCTGAATCTGAATAGTTGACCCACAAGACTGAAATTATCCATGAGGATGTTAGTTGGTGTTGAACTGGAAAACGACAACTGATTTTAACAGGACAGTGGTGAGCCATCTTGGCTACATGTCTTAACTTGCTTCAAGTACTCCAAAGTAAAGTAACAAGTGTCGGTTGACCTACAACTTATGACACATGTGTTGAAGGGTAAAAATATGAAGACATTTTAATGGGCACGGTTTCTTTGTATGTTCTGTGACAAAGGTGGCTATGACATTTTCAAGGTCTTCCCTCCTGTTATTATTTCTCTCTAATAAACTACAGAATCAGATACATCTAAGTTAGGAAACTGTCAGTAATGTTGACAGGTTTTCAATGAAGTGACTCCCCTGGATCCACGTGTGGTTTTTTGAGTGGGACCCTGGGAAATTGATTGGGTCCCAAATACAAGTTTTGTTTCTTGAGAAATTCTATTGTCAAAGTCATGTTTTATGTTGGTATGGTGGCTCAACTAGCATGTTGTGTTACTTTGCACACAGGATCGTGTCTGTGCTCTGACAGAGAGGTTTCTTTTGCTGATTACTGTGATGTTAACACAAGTTCAGGGCTTCACCCTGGTCATGGTGAGGCCGTAAGCAGAATTTGTGTAGTTATGCTAATCAAAACAAACAAAACCAGCATGGTAACATTACTGAATGACTTTTCAGCACAGGGTGTGGGAGAGCAGACTGTGTGCACTTACTCATGGGTAGGTCATCTCTACAAAAGAAAAATCAAGAATATAAAGGAAAAAACTAGAAAACATGAGACCCCCTCGTCTGTCTCTCAATTTGTCATTTTCATGCCATATAGTATGATTTAAAGAAATACAGAGCAGTGTGCATTCAAGCAGCTGAGCACAGCCGACACTACACGCACGCACAGCACAGCTGAAATACATCATCATGGCAGCAACAGTTATAACCATGACAGTTTGCTCTTTAAAACCTGTACAGAATTATTTGGCTACAGGATATGCCTAAATAACGGTAGACTGAGTACTTAGTAAATGAGAAAACGCACAACTCAGTAAAGTCCTTGTAGCAGTGTGCATGCTCTCTCGCCCTTTCTCTCTCTCTCGTATATAGTTTGTTGTCAAATCATACTGTACAGATTTTTAAAAAACGAACTGTCGTGCGCTTTTTCGTAGTCAAAAGGCTTAAGAGGAGGTGATTCTGGTCATACCTGTTGCTGCTGTGACAGTGCTTCACTTCAGCACCAGGCGCTGTCTACTGTCTGCAGCGCTGCTCTGTTCTGTGGCGGGAGTGTTGGTCTCTGTCACTTATTATCACAGCGTTATTGTTAAGAAAATGATCAAATAAGTAAAAGTCCCATCTAAATAACCTTATGGGCCATATATCATTGCTGGCAGGCCAGTTTCTGACCCCTGATTCACAAACAAATGTGCTTAATATATAAATGAAAGAGGTGAGGGGTGGACATGCGATAATGCCGCTCACTGCGCTATTGAGCCACCTTGGATCACCGCGGTGAAAATTCCTTCAGCGCGACAGCCCTAATTGATATGTAAAGAAAGATAATCAGCTTTTCCAAAAAAAGATATTGGTATATTTGGTATTAATAAAAGTCTAGCTTCTGACAGTGCAAATAGCCAATCAGAGTTTAGGGGGTGGCATCTGGGTTGGCCAATCAGATTTCAAGGGGGGGGTCCCATGCCACCCATCTGGACACGCCCCTGTGACTGTAGGTTCCATATTTGTGGAGTTAAAATGTTGATATGTGCTGTGCTCTATTCTGTGCTCTGTATATTTTCCTGCTTGTTTTTCCTTGGCTATCACATAGTTATAATCAAAACAACTGTATTTATAAAAATGGCTGAGCAATGCAAAAACGAGTCTCTATGGATGTTCTTCATGTAGGTCAGCACGTTAAAATTGGCACTGGAAGGCGTGGAGAAGGAGAGGGACTACTACTTCAGCAAGCTGCGAGAGGTGGAGCTGCTGTGCCAGGAACAGGGTGAAGAAAACGGCCCGTTTGTCGAGCGGCTAATGGAGGTCCTTTACGCCTCAGACGAACAGGTAGGTCTGTGACCTCTAGGCTGAGCTCAACAGGATGCCGTTCAGTTGGAGGTTTTTTGTCAGCCTTAGTTATGTTTTTGCAGCGGCTCGTTCACCAGTAAAATATGTGTGTACCCTTTTGTGGTTAAATCATGTGTAAACTAAACTGCTTAAAGAGATAAGAAGTCATTCTTTGTGTGTAATCAAGTGTGTTTGCCTTGGAGAATAATTCAGTAGCACTCTTTTAAACTGTCTGTGCTCGGTTTCAAGGAGGGAGCAGAGCTGGCTGAGGGTGATGGACAAGAAGTGGAACAGCAAGCTCAAGAGGAGGCAACAGATGATCAACAGGAGGAGCAGGATGAATACTGACTGCCATCATCATCACCCCTCACCACAGTTACCCCCTTCTTTTTAATATGTGAGAACTGTTCAACGGATTTTAATTTTTCCTCATTGTTCCTTTTTTTGTTCTCTTTGAGACTGAGCACATGAAGCAACCTCCTGAATGCAAGCACCATCACAGTTTTTATTTTTTTGTATCTCTCCACTGCTCACTGTTGATGTTTTTTTTGTGACTATTGGTGAACTGCTGTGGTGGGTTTGTGGAGATGACCTCCAATCTCAGACCATCACAGAAGTTTCCGAGGATTGTGTGGGTGGACAGTCTGTTCAAAATCTACAGTAGATGTGATGAAATGCTGAAGTTTAGACAGGTAACTGTTATCTGTCGGTGCAAGTGTTAACTTCCCAGCCTCTGTCCTTTTTTTTTTTTTTTTTTTTTTCATTTTATTTTGTTTTGTAATTTGCATTTAAAAAATATATTAATCACCATAATGCAATAAGCAAAGCCCTGTAAGGGCTCGTAGTGGCTCTTATTTAACCTCCTTCCACAAGTTGCACTGACATTTGACTCTGTACTGGACAATCTGTCCATAGACTCACCATATTTATTATTATTATTGTTAAGCCTTAGAAATAGTGCAAGCTTCTGCATTGCATCCTCGTGAAGGAGGACAATACAGTCAATGACTTGTGAATGCAATGTAGTAAAATGCCAACTTATGACTGTTTGACAGCTATCCACACACAAATTTCAAGATTTCAGATAATCAGTGTGTCCAATGTGTTCTTCACACCATACAATGTGGTATGATAGTTTACTTTTTATATCATAAACATAGGGCAGGAAGAAACACTATTGTGGACTCGTCTTATAATGGTGCAACATTTTATATTTTAACCTTAGCTGGAACTTGTGGTCTGTTCAGATTTCAGCTGTTTGTTTCGGAGTATTTCTTTTTTAAACCCCAGGTCTCTGGGTGTTGGTTCACTGAGTCATTTGCCATGCTATATTCCAGTAAGTACATTGTATACCCTTTCTTAATATTGCATTTACTAATATTGAACTGGGCAGTGCACCATAATGCTTTAGTCATATATAATTGTGTAAAGGAAAAGGAATGTAAACATGTTCTGTCAATAATTAATGAATGGTAAATGTTTTTTTTTTCATGTCCCACTCATTATGCATTCCCCCCAAAAAACGTGTTGCATGTATGCATTTTATTTGTGAATAACTTGACCTGCTTTTTACATATTTAATAAAAAAAAAAACAAGTATGTTAAGTGAGCTTTTTGTATGTTTAACCTGCTATTTGAAAGTTGTGGAGATTCGGATGGATTTGCTGTAATAAAAATTACATTTTAAGTTCACAGGGGTGTTGTGATGTCACAAACACAATGGTATATGGAATGGACTTAAAATTGGAAGAACTTAATTAAGTAAGTTACATGTAGAGTTATTTTTTTTTATTAGATTGCACTTTGAAATTAGTTTTCTGCTTAGTATGCTTTCTATAAACACACTGGACAAATTGAATTCATATAAATACCTGGGCAAAATAAGCAATACCACAATTTTGTTTTTTTGTTCAAGTAAAGACACAAAACTGACATTGACAAAAATTAACGTTAATTTAAAGTTCCCTGTATTCAGCGTTATTTAACTTGATCATTATTTTTAGAATATGCAAACGATTAATCTGATAAGTAATGTAATGACTAGTGGAACTCCTGCTGCATTTTCTCAAGTAGTGCACTCTAGTGGAAGTTTGTGGAACTTCTTGAGTATTTTACTTTAACACTGTACTCCTCCACATCTCAATGGAAACTATAATGCCACGGTTGAAAAGTATAGTTTATGTTTACTCCTAATACCCAAAGTAAAACTACTTGGGCAGATTTGCAAACTTAAAATTAGTATTTATCATATTTGTGGAAATGTGATTATAAGTGTGTACATCAATTTAGTGAGGCAGCTGGTAGGTCAGGTTTAACCACTTCCTCAAAAGCTAAATGGCTTAACCCTTAAAATGTGGCATAATATATCTGCTGATATATATTTTATTTACTTATCTATTTGTTAGGGACAGTGCATATTAATGAACAGCTGTAAAAATGCCAGATTACAGCAGAAGTGCTAGTTTCCATCTGTTGTCTCTAGGCAGGTAAGAGAAAGACAAATTACAAATAAAATACAAATACTAATGTTTAGTCTGACTGCAAAGTAGCTGGTTGCTAAAAATGTCAAAAATAAGTGAATAGTGTAATATTCCTTCAGACAGTAGTATATAGTAGCAGTGTTCATGACTTTTAAAGAGGTGCTCTCACACGCACACAAACAAACACTCGCGAGATTTCTCCGGTCCACGCGGTTCAAAAATCAAACACACCCCTCAGGTTGAGCAACAGCAAGTCAGCTTTGACTATTATTAAGTAATGTAGCAACTACCGGCAAACCGTAAATATATTAAAATGGGTTAAAGAAAACATTTAATTAGATCCCGTCGTGTTGACCCCAATATAAACTACAACAGTGGCTTGTATGTATTTTAAATGTTTGCCATGTCTGCCAGAAAGGTAAGAAACCGCTAACACTTAGCTATCCTGTTAGCCTGTTTACACTTACTTTAAGCTACAGGCTAGTTAGCAGTTATCCAGCCCTGGCCACAGATAAAGTGTTTTAAGATAAGTGTTGCTCTGTTTCCGCAGCGTAAACGATACTCCAAGGATATAAAGTGTGTCTTCTTCCCGGATGATGTGGAGAATGGTTTCCGAAAAGCGGCACGGGAATCGTCGTCGCTTTCATGTGTGTCCTCTGCAAAGAGCTGGGAGAAGTGTGGAGACAGCTTTCTTGAGTCTCCAGGGATTAAGGTTGTGGTGGTTTTCTAAGGAGCATCACGACATGACTGAATGTTCATAACTTACATGACCCCCCCCCCCCTCACTCTTATTCATCATTACAGTGTTGACAGTGTCACTTCTTTTGTTGTTGCAGGACCTCAAGTCGTCAGGAAGAAAACTGTCTGTCTTTAGAAAGTTGACTCAGTCCACTACGGCAGGTAATTTGTTGTGTGGTTTAAATGTATTTATACATTAAGAGCTGTGCAGTAAATCAGTAAAAAAAATCTTAAATGTTAACATACTTACATCATGGAGCAATTCGGGGTCAATTGATTTAGTTAGTGTGGATAGTATGTCATATATATTTCGACTTAACCATCGATTTCTTTTACTGCTAAAGTGGCATTTCTGTACTTCAGTTTTTCAAGGTTGTAAATGGTAAATTGACTTGAGCTTACATAATGCTTTTCTAGTCTTCGGACTACTCAAAGCGCTTTCACACTGCATGTCACACCCACCCATTCACACACTGATGGTAGTGATGATCGCTATGTAGTGTTATCCATCAGAAGTAACTAATCCCATTCATACACTGCCACCGAAGCAGCGGGAGAGCAATTCTGGGTTAAGTGTCTTGCCCAAGGACACATCGGACATGTTGCCCAGCTGGGGATCGAACCCTCAACCTTCCGGTTGAGAGGCGGCGACTCTACCAACTGAGCGACAGCCACCCGCCGTTGTCCTGGCCAAGACAAGCATCAACATGAATACACCATTGCAGACATTTTACAACATAAACTACTAAATAAATAATAAAAATGAGGCAACAAAATAATGCATCACCATTTCAAAAGTGATTTAGAATTACATAAAATACAATGTGAAACCAGCTCCTGAGGCTTTAAGTTATTTGTTGCTCTTTCCAACAAAGAGGAAATCCTTACATGGAAGTTTGATCAGATATCTCCCTATTTAAACACACAATTCACAATTTTATACAATTTTATTAAGGAAACGATTTTCGTATTTTCTTCATTTCTTAAGACTGTAATTCATTCTAATAAACAGTTGAAAGAAAGGATTTGGGATTGAATATTGTGGCAGTATAGCCATTCAGCTCTATGGACGTGTTGGAAGATTTGAATTGTCAAAAATTAAAAGGTACGTCACCTTCTCTTGATAGCTCCTGTACTTCTGTGTTTTCCCAGTGCAGACCAGAGCTGATCACTGTAATGAGGATGCAGTGAACATTGCGTGGAGCTCCAGTGATTGTGAGCAGTCGGATAATGAGACCCATGAGCAACGCGTTACGAGACAAGCGAGACCCACAGCTCTCAGTCAGTCTTACACTAGAGCACTGCACACACTGAGAACTGAGAAAGGTAACCTAGCAAGTTAATTGATCAAGAAAGATATGCACATAATTCTGTGTTAAACTAGGAATGATGATCTTCAAAACGGATCCAGTATAGTTGTTGGTCTCCCCTTTTATTTCAGTCATTGTGCTAAGCAAAGCTAAATTGCTGCAGGCTGTGGCTTCATATTTACCCCCACAGAATGGGGCTTGTGGGGTGTGTCTATGTGTGTTAAAAAAGTTACTCGTTTTATCTGATTTTTCTCATTTGTCATGAGCTTCCTCACAGCACAGCTATCTCTATTCACAGAGATCCTTGAAAAACTTGTTAGCAGTAAGCTTGTTAAACTTGAACGTTTTGTTTTTTTTAAAATGAAGTTCATGTCTTTTCTTTCTGTAGATGACCTCCCTGTTATTGACACAGAGAGTGACCTGAATGAGTCTGAGGAAGATGATGAAAAGGACAGTGGGCAACAAATCTCTGACTGTGAGTCAGAGCCCTTTGATGTAAAAAACCCTGAAGATATACCGCTAAATAAACCTGAAAATGTGAGTGAACTATTCCTATCCTGGCATATTCTGTTGTTCAACTTTTCCAAACACCTATGAGCATGTGGACTGAGAGTGAGTGAGTGAGTTAGTTTAGATTTTCTGATGTGGGGTAGTATGAGGTTGTATGCCAGTCAGCTTGGGTCCTTTTGGAAAAACCAGTTGGAGTTTCGACATGGACAGGGCCATTTGCACCACGTAATTTAGCTAATTTAACATTTCTGGCTCTGTAAGAGGGGGAGACGGAGATAAGTAGTTGCTCATTCAGTCATTCCTGTGAGGTCTGCTCACAAAGTGTCTACTCTAGTCATTTTGTGGACCGGATCAATTGTTGGTTAAGACAGCAACTGTAGGGGCGCTGATAGCCTAGCAGTTAGGTCACAACCCAGGTGTGGAAACTTTGGTCCTTCAAGCGGGTGTCCTGGGTTCGAGTCCGACCTGTGGCTCCTTTAGTGCGTGTCATTCTCCACTCTTTACCCCAATTATTTTCTTTATGTCATTGAGTGAACACTAGATGGGGCCACACATCCTCTTAAACTTTATGTGGCTGCTCGAGCCCAGAGTATGTTTCTAATTAGAAGTGTTCAGTTGACTGTCAATGAATGCAGATTCACTCGAAGTAGTGACTCAAGTGTTTGTACTTTTTCTCGAGTCCAGTGACTAACACTAGGTATAATTCTGTATGCTGTGTTTATCACATCTAAAGAGCTTCAGATTCAGTTTCTTACTCAAAATCAATTGACATGTCTAAGTATGTTGTTAAATAATAATGGCTTTTTCCTTATTAAGACTTAACTTGAGTGATATTTTGATTTAATAGTGTGATTAGCATTTATACCAGCAGGGGGAGTGTTGCAGTCTTCTTCTCATGTCCTGAAAGGGCCTCACAGGCTCAAACTAGTGTTCTAGTGTTCACTCATGTTCCAAAAAGCCAAAGTTCACAAGCTGAGGTAGCAATAAAACACTGAGTGAATGTGCTGCTAATTATTCACCAGTGCGAAGCAGTTCTTTAAATAGTTTGTAAAGTAGTCTCTCAAACTGAGATGTGTGAAGGATTAAACCTTTTACAGCAGTGTTATTTATGGAAGTAAAAACACTGTTGAGCTGTAGCACATGTTAAGGACATAAATGAAGTATTATTAACTCCTGGATCAGTTTCAAGCCAAAACGCCAAATATGTAATGATTTCTGCACCCTAGATGTAGAAGAAGATAGCCTCTAATGTGTTAAATAACAGTAAATGTAATGTTTTTGAGGTTATCGAAAGCAGCTTGGGCTCACTGTTTTCTTCTCTTTTTTTTAGCCAAAGCTAGGACTGGAACATATCATCATTTTCATAGATTAATTAGCATTTCATTTTCAAGACTAATCACTTCACTGCTTCGCGGTGAAAAATGTTTGGTTTAAAAGCACAAGATTATATCTCTTGTTTTGTCAGTTCACGCCCCAGATATATTCAGTTAACAAGATTTAAAAAAATGAAACAGGTAATTAGTATAGCTGAGTGAAAATGTCGTTTATGGAATGAGAATTC